GCCCTGTTTTCCCACTTTTCACTACCGGCCAGGGATGGTGTGTCTGAATCAGCCGCGCTGTGCTCGGGGCTGACCACACACATGCACACCCCGCTGGGGGAAGCCGGAGTGACTTCCACAGGGAGAGGGCAAGTGATACACAGCGGTTAATGGACCAAGCCTCATGTTACAGTGGGCTGAAAGACGCAAAAGAGCTGATTATTTTCAAGCAAATAAAATCACCAAGACTAGTGAATTAATTCCCCGAATTTATATCTTCCTTCTGGCGATAGCTTGCATTGTCTAGACAGGAAGATGCGTGCAATCGGCTTTAAAGATGCAGCTTTATACCTCCCACGGGAGAAAGACCTAAATTCCTGACAGGCAAAGCTCTGTTGAGATGAATGGGAAACAAATTACTCCCTTGTACTCTTTAAGGCAATTGGCGTCTGTATCACACAGGCTCTTACTGGGGCTCTTCAAAGATGCCGGTAAGATTTGCAGGTGCTCCTGGCTTTTGTCTTGCAAAGCCCATCACTGTTTGCACGGAGACTTTCAATGTGCAACACCTAAACTAGAAATCCCCCAGAAAATTCGGCTGTGCAACCCATCAATTAAAAGGCAAAGGCAGAAGCCTGCAATAGAAGTGGGAACTGAGGTGTTGCAGCTGGTGAGTGGTGCTACTGCCTGTTTGTGCCATTTGCAGAATGAGAAAGGCATTCCCTGCAGCAAGGCAGGGCACAGGGGATGGGGACCTCGGGTTTCTCACTGTGCTTTGACTGCCTGTCCCTTGCAGGACCTGGGAAATCACTGCCCCTCTCTGCCCTGGCTTCCCTATTTCTTGTGAGTCATCTATTTCTTGTGAGTCTTCCTTTCTCTTGCTAATAATGTAATTAAAGATAAAATACAATAATATTTAAACTCAAAAAAAACATATCCAAGATTGAAAGATTTAAATTTCAATGGTTGCACTAAATTCCCCCTATATATGCATATGTTGTATCTATAGGTCACCACCTACAGAATCTTTAAGGAATTTGCCTTGCTTTCCAACTCAGCTGTCAATTTATCCCTTGGCTAACAGACAGCATAAATAAGCAGTGTTACAGGCTTCACCTGTGCCAAGAGATTTGCTCTTCATGCAGCACAGCAAAAGTGCCCCTGTGTTTTAAATCCCCCCAGCCAAAGGCAATGCCAGCTGCAGGGTTTGGTTTGTCTGAACCCTGGGGTAGGGATTGATTTAGGTGTGAATTTTAAACTCCAGCTTTAAGTGCTCTGTATTTGGAGCTGGGGTCTCAGTTTATGAGAAGACCTGAGTTTTGAACCAGTGCAGGAGAAAAAAATGTGTTTCATGTGCCTGATGTGTGGTCTCGATGGCTGTGGTCGCTGATCCTGTCACAAGGGTTGTGTTCAGGTGGGAAACTGGGCAGCTGATAAACAGCAGCTAAAGGCACATCTGCTCAATTTTTTGCATGCAGAATCACACATTTGCCTTTTTGAAAATGACACTTAAATCCCCCCTCTCCCAAATTTGACTGGTATTGATCCGTGCATTGAGAGCAGAATGAATGAATTTTATTTATGCAGAGGTGAGAAGATGATTTTAATCGTGCTGCACATTTCCATCTTGTTTAGAAACCCAATCATAGCTGCAAACCAAACAAGAAAAGTCTCCTTGTTTTCTGAATGATGTTATTTGTTTATCTGCCAAAGTGCTTTGCATTTCCTCAGGTCACAGACCAGCCCATGTCTGGCTATGTTAATATTATAAGAGTTAGGCAAAAGCAAAGTTTAAGAAAAATCTTTCAACTGAAAGAAATAGGATCTTAAAATCCCAAAATAGAGTATGGAAAGGTACACATCATGTCTGGCTTCTCTTTTCCCTTGTGGCAAATGTGACTCAAAGGAGTTGGTTTTTTTCCAGCTTGATCTGTATACAGTTTGGGGGAGTTTTATTGTGAGTAGGTCACCTTATAATACACAAAAATATTCCCTCCCAGAGGTCTGTATGCATAAATCTTTCTCGATTCTCACTCTCTTGAAACTGAAATCCAGATGATTTCGTTTTCTTCATGGAAAGAAGAGTGAGAAGGAGTGGAGGCACACCTTGGTGTGGGGCTGGTGCTCTGGTCCTGCCGTGGCTCCCGTGGCTTTGAGGAGCCGCTGGCTCCCTCCCTGTGAGATGGGCAGAAGAGCAGCACCGAAAAACTGAGACTTTAGAGCAGCTTGGTTGTTGCTACGGAAGGAAAAACTGAATTTCAAAGTTATTATTTAAAAACCGTTTTAAATCTTCACTTCTCAAAGTTTGTTTAAGGGTCAAATTTATTCCTTCTTTGCTTCGCCAAAGAAAAGATCAGCACTATGGTTAAATACTAAAGCAGCTGCCTGGAATAGTGGAGATGAGTGTTTATTGACAGTAGCAGTTTTTTGTAGTTCAGTTTTGAGGAGAAACATATATCTGAAGCGTAGCTTTAATGTGTTCTTTCGTTCTACCTCACAGTGCGTTTCTCTTTATGAAAATGCAGCACAAAATACTAACTCTGTCCCTGCAGAGCAGGGTTAACATCACTGTTCCCCTGGTATAGGTCAAAAGAGAGGTTTTATGACATGATCGAAGCTATGTGGTAAATTGGAGGCAGAACTGAGTGTAAAACTCTGATTTTAAAGTTCCTGGAGTGTTTCTGTGGGCTGTCCATCTTCATTTTTTGTTCCTGAGTCATCCTGATGTGTTCTTAGCAAGTGGAAGGTAGATAGAAATGCTTATGGTAAATGATCATCTACAACCTTGAAAACATAACCAATTAGCTCAAGATTAGGACACACCCTTTCAAATGGGGATACTTGACTTTTACATATATTTTTCTTTATTCTTGCATTTTATAATGCTATTTGGATTTTACAATGATGTCATCCAAAACCATTGCCATAATGTCATAAATTACCAAAAAATATGTTATTTTCTTCCACTTATCAAACAGTTGATTTAAAATCTGGTCCTGTGGAAGACCAGGAGGCCTTTTACTGGGTGTTTTATACCCTCTGGCCAGGAGATAATACAAACATTGCCATATGAACAGGCAATCAGTTCCTCTCTTCTTTAAGTTGTGTACATTTATACAACACATACCCACAGCCATGCACGTTATTGGATGACCATGAACAGTTTTGCCTTGGGAAATGATTCTCTACATGAACAAACACCACTTAAAATTACTTTTAAAGGTGGCCAGTATTAAAAACTATATATGTAGCCAGTTCTGTTACAGCTGCTACTGACTGTGCTCACTGGGGGCAGATTTTCTTTTGTAATTTATTATCTGTTTTCCTCCATTTCAGCCTCCCACCTGTAACTCTGGGATTTTGTTCTGCCAGGACAGAGGGTCGAGCAAAAGCTGCTTTGCTGTCACTGTAATAACCCTTCCTGTCCAAAGAATCCCCTCGTAAATGTAGCTGGATCCACAAAGAATTACTCTGTCAGGCATGACAATAAACATGCTCAGTACTTAAAAAGTGCTCTTCCCTCCACCCCCCTCCCCTTTAAAGATGGCTTTTGGTGATACAATGGCTTTTCATTGAAGGCCAGGAAATCTTGGATTTTGAAAGTACCATACTCAGGGTGAGTTTCCGTACAGCTCCCAGCAGACCTGGGCTATGGGCCTCCATGGATCAACAGGGGGTGATTCCTACATTAATGCCTGTTCCCAGGAGATCTGTCATCTTGGCCTCTGTTGCCTTTAATCTCTATACACTCTATACATTTCTAAATCTCCCCATGGCTGCCGTGGTATTTATCACATTCTTGGCAACGCTGCTTCTCCAATACCAACCTCTGTGCTTGGAGTCCAGCTCTGCTCCTCCTCCCCCTCACTCCCAGAGCCAACTGACATGTTTGCACAAAGCCTTGTACCCAATTTTCCCTCCTCACCATCTCCCAAAGCGCTTGTGCGAGTGAGTTATCGGAGGTGTCTGAGCTGTGCCTGGGCTGGGTTCTGTAATTCCGTCTTGCACAACCCCTACTTAAGGCTTGTTGACTTCAATGGGGCTATTCATGCAAGTGGAGGCTGCACATTCGGGCCCTTGGGTTGTAGGGTCTCTGGGGCATAGACCCTGTCTTTGTGTGCCTCAAAAATATGTGCTAGATGAGTTATGATAGCTCAGAAGAGTGAGTGTCGCTTTACATTTGCCATACTGAAGGAAGGTTGCCAGGATTGCATTGATGCTGCATGTGGTCCCCTTCCAGGGGGGAATTAATCCTTCTTTGCAAAGATACCTCCTGCTGACTGGTGAAAAGAAAAAAGGAAAAAAACCCTGGTTTGGCCATGAATACCATTAGCTTAATCTTCCTTTTCTCTGATCTTCCAGTACTATTTGCTTTGTATGGCTTCATCAAGGTTTTGTATGTGGACAGAATAATTGAAAACAAATTTAGCATGTCTCAGACCATAAAGTTCCCTTTCAGCTACATCACTGGCTATGCGGTAGATAAATGTCTGGTTTTCATTTTTGGTTATGTGAGAAATTTAGAATGGTTTGATTCGTAATTTTGAACGTTAATAAAGAAGGAGAAATTTCCTTGTCTCCTGGCCTATGGAGGCATTCTGGCTTTCTTGCAGCAAATGCTGTTAAAAAAAATGTTATTTAGTACAGAAGAGTCTGTTTGTGTCCTTGAGGCCTAGAAACCCCAGTCTCCAGGGTGGACTAAGACCTCCTTGTGCTCTTCAGTCTCAGACCAAAAATGCCACTTCTGCCCGTACAGGTAGTATTTTAGTGCAGTGCAAGATGAATGGCTGAAGATGAACCTGACTGGGGGAAGGATGAGTTTCAAAGAGCAGTGGATCAATGGCATATATATATATATATATATATCTGTGTGTGTATATATATGTGTGTGTGTGTGTGTGTTAATATCTGTGTATATATATGTGTGTGTCTGTGTGCGTGTCTATAGATCTGTTTGGTTTCCTGACTTGAAGGCATTGCAAGCCCGGTGTGTGATAATAATTTTTTGGGTGTCTTACCAGCTTCACGGGTACATGGAGAACAAACCCTTGGGTCTGCAGATCTTCATTGGCACAGCAGACGAGCGGATACTCAAACCTCACGCCTTCTACCAAGTCCATCGCATTACGGGAAAAACTGTCACCACCACCAGCTACGAGAAAATCATCGGCAACACCAAAGTTTTAGAGATCCCACTGGAACCCAAAAACAACATGAAAGCAACGTAAGTGTGTTTCTTTTTATCAGCAAAGTTGAGGCAGATGAAGTTGGCATGTGGAGTTCCTTCTCTTTGGAAAGGAGTCACTAAAATGAGTAAAGATCCCTGCTCTGGAGGGACTCTCCTGTCCAACACACTGGGATGATACACAAGTGTAAGACCCTTTTTACAAAACCATGAGCAGCAGGTACAGGCACCTGGGTTAAAGCTGCTTGAGGAGTTACCATTCATCAGCTGACCATGCAGGCACTTTTGCTCTTTACTCCAGCTGCTGCAGTGACTATATTGTAATCACAGAATGGTTTGAGTTGGAAGGGACCTTAAAGATAAGTTTGTTCCACCCCCCTGCTAAAGGCAGGGACACCTTCCACTAGACCAGGTTGCTCCAAGCCCTTTCCAATCTGACCTTGGACATTTCCAGGGATAGGGCATCCACAGCATCCTGTGCCGGTGTCTCACCACCCTGTAGTAATCCATCATCGTCAAAGTCAGAATGGATTTGTGCTGCACTAAGGAAACAAGACTTGAATCTCAAGTTCTTATGCTGCAGGGGCACAGTGAGAAGCAGGAGCAGCAGACAGTGGAGGAAAGGTGTACAATTCATTTTACAACATTTAATGGAAGAGAAAACATCTCTTCTGAACTCAGCCAAGTGCTCTGGCCATGAAATCGCTCTCTACTGTTGTAATAAGGTAACAGGAAAGCAAGTACAGGCACATCTTGTCTGTATTACTCCTACCAGTTTTATGGAGGCAGAGGGATGAAGTGGGCACCAGTCTGAAACTTTAGGCTTGAATGTGTGCCAGGCAGCATGAGAGTGATTGCTCTGCAGAGGGAAGAGCTGTATCTCCATCCTTCAGAGGATAAAATTGGCAGAGCAGTTATATTTTTAAGCCCCCCTACTTCATCGCAAAATCCACATTCTTTCTTCATATTTTTTTCAGAAAATATACCTCATTCCCAACAAGGAGCCCTGGAGTAATAAACCTCTGCACATATGCAATGGCGAGGAACCGTGTGGGTGTAGGAAACAGCTTGGGGTTTATGCCTCCCCAAATGTGATTTTAATTCTTATCAAAAGAAGAGAAATGATGTGTCTTCAGAGCTGATTTAAAAATGGGTTGGCAGTGCCTGTTTAATAACAGTGCTCACTGCACCCTCTGAGGAGCATTGCTGAGCTAAAGATCTCAGATTCTGTAGAGATTAATTGCCACATTCTCCTAGTGTGGACAGGCATGTTTGCAAGGTTACACTGGGCTCTTGAGGAGCGATATTAAGTCCACCAATATTAAGTTGTGGTGCTGATTTAAGCAATCCAAATCCTTTCATTGCTGCTCAGTCCCATCCTGCTCCTGTCCAGGGACACGTGAATGGATGAATGGGAGCAGAGAGTCATTTTTTGCTCTGCCAGGCTTTTGCCTTGGCTAGGAACAACATCCCAGGACTTTGGACATGTTCTGGGACCGGGCTGCAGAGCACAGTTCTAGTAGTACAACCCACCCTGTCCAAAAGGAGGAGAGAGCAGTTTGGTTCCTGCTTTGGAGTTGAATTCATGCTTGCTTTACAAACTAGGGGGGAAATGTGCCTGGATGATGCATGCAGTGATGGTTCTGTAATTAGCTGGTTTGACTGCTGTGATTCCCCATGGAGCTGAACTAATTTGGCCACGTGCAGGCAAGAGCTGCTGTGCAGTCCCTGGGCACTGGGCTGTCTGGAGAGCTGGTGCTGGAGGCCCCTGCCCTGGGGTGGGCTCTGCAATCTGCACTCTCTTGCTTAGCACTGGAGGGAAATAAGACCTGGGCTTATAACCTTTGGAGAGTGGCTTCTGCTGTTGCCAGAGAGTGGGGAGAGGTCCAGCAGCATCTGCTAGAGTTCAAGTAGCATTGGGATGATACTCTCAGGCATATGATGTGACTCTTGGGGATGGTCCTGTGCAGGGCTAAGGGTTGGGCTTGATGATCCTTGTGGGTCCTTTCCAACTGAGCATATTCTGCAATTCCGTGATCTCTCATGTGCTGCACGTCTGGGATTTCTTCCCCTGTGCCTGCTGAAATGTCAGTGTCAAGATCCTAAACAAAGCAAGCACTCAGAGGTGTTCCTGGAGCTCAGTCCTCGTGGCTGTCACCCGTCCCCAGGCTGTGGGAGAGCGGGGATGTCGAGCTAACGGTGTGTGTTTGCAGCATCGACTGCGCGGGGATCCTGAAGCTGCGCAACGCGGACATCGAGCTGCGCAAGGGCGAGACCGACATCGGCCGCAAGAACACCCGCGTGCGGCTCGTCTTCCGCGTCCACATCCCCGAGTCCAGCGGCAGGATCATTTCCCTGCAGGCGGCATCCAACCCCATAGAGTGCTGTGAGTATCCCTGAGATTGGCTCCTTCTCTTGCAACAACGACCACCCCGTCCTTTGGCTCCAGGCCGGTGCCCTGCCCTTCTGTGCTGGCTGGGGCTGTGCCGCCGTTCAGGTGACCTGTGGCTCTTACCTGTATACGCTCCCTGTCCTGAAAGGAGCTTGGGTGGCTGGTGGCTCCTCAAGGTGCTTAGAGCTTGTGAGGACAGCACAGGACCTGGGGGCTTTTGCAAAGTTTATTTATTAGTGTGTTGCTGCCGGATCCCTCTGGCTGTCAGGTGGTTACTGGGAGCAGGGAGCCAGCGGGGGGGTGTGTATATGGCACACATGTTTGTGCATGAGCTGCCTGCCTTCCTGGCCATGGCTTTAGTTTGAGAGGAGGCACAATCAGAACTTGTTATCCACAAGCTGGCAGTTGGTTTGGGGTTTTGAATTCAGACTTGGGACAGATCCTAGCACTGTGGCCAGTCCCGTCTGCCAAAGGAGTGACCACAGCCCTCTGATCTGAGCTGTGTCAGAACACAGCTGAATTGGAGGAGCAGATTTGATTTTGAGGCTCAGGTGCATTCTGGTTATTGGTTTTTCTAGCTGTCAGTGCTAAGGGGTGCACAGCTCAGGAGGCTGAAGCAGGGAAAGCACAGGTTGTTCTGGTATTCCCCTGAGGGACAAGAAAACTCGCAGTTTTGATTTCTGAACTGCAAATCCTTTAAGTTATAAGCTGAGAAACCTGCACCTCCCACGCATTTTAACGTACTGGATCCTGAGAAAGAGAGGCCTCTGATGAGGTGCCCCCTGTGTCACAGTCATTTCTGGAAGGGCTCCACCCACTTTGCTGGTTCATGTGCATCCTGTGATGCTTTTTGTTGGTAAATGGTGCCTTTTTGGCAGTTTGGGGATTTCACAAATACCTAATGAACAGTTTTCCTCTCCCTTTGTTGAATGACTCACCCCTTTAGCAGAACCTGTCTTGCCATAAGTCATATGAAGTTACTGAAGTGTTTCTCACGTGTGAGTGTTATTTATTGAGATGCAGGCTTTAACTTAAATAACAACTGCTTAGAATGAGAGAGGAGCCAGTTTTGGATGGGAAATCAAACTGGAGAGTGAATTATTGATGGCAGCTTTTTAAAAAACAGTACAAACGAATAACCAAGGCTAAGGAGTGGGTGATGGATATGTATGATCTCTTGGCAGTGGTTATGAGAAGGTACCAACTGTCAGATCATTTAAGCAGCTGAGCAAGTCTCTGGGCACTGTGATGGGGAAGGGAGAGTGGTGGGAGTAACCACCACCTTTCTCCATAGGAAACAGTCACGGTCCTTTATGGGACCAGATGGCTGAAACAATAGTGGCCTCCACCCCAAACATGTCCCTGCTGAAACAAAGGTCCATTTGCTAAAGGAAGCATTCAACGGGGAGCTACTCGGGTGGGGAAACTCCAGGTGTAACTCCTACACCCACTGTGCAGGAAAACAGCACAAGCCCAGAGCGGACGGTGGATGGTCAGGCAGGGCGTCCCACAGATCACCCCCCACTGACTCAAATTCTCCTCAGGAAAAGCAAATAGGAGTTAGCCAGGCATTTCTAGGGCTCTTCCACAACTGCACGTTGTGTTTGTGCCCATCACCCCAGGGCACTCAAGCAGAAATCTGGTCACGGTTTAAAGAATAAATCACATTTTTCTGAACTGTATGCACACAACTACTTTGCCTGTGCAATGACTGCTATGGCAGTGGCTTGGTTAAGATGTCTAGGCTTTTATTCTGAGATGTCTTTGCATTGATTAGTCTTAGGGACATAAAAAAGCCAAGAGTGAAGATACTGGTATAAGTGGCTTATTTTTTTTTTTCCCCCATAATTAAAGTATTAAAATGTTGGCTGCATAGCAGACAGCAAAGCTACAAGAAAAAAATGTATTTGATCCCTAAGGAAATAAAACCAGAAAGTTTTATTTTTGGGATACTGGATATATGGAATTTGGAGAGATATGTTAGGGCCTGTGCTTTTCCAAACTTGTGGAAGCAGAGTACAAAGTGATCTGGAGTAAGAAGCCTCTCCCATTCAGTGGGTATGCTGCATATTTAGCGCTGCTTTTGCATTTCAGTAGCACTTCCTGATCTCAGCCCAGTTCTGGGAAGATGGTTATAAACATCAGTTGGCTCGGCCAGCATTAGTAATTCAGACTGAATCTCACTAGCAATGGTAAACTCAGCTTCTCCCAGACAATCTGCACAGAGCTCACAGTCAGTCTCAGGTAAGCTCAGGTGCCCTCCCGAGAAGGGCTATGTGACATTTTCTCCTTGTCCTACTTCCCACCTTCATGTGCTGCTGGGATTGGCTTTTTTCCCTTTTGTTTGCTCTTCGTATTTTTTTTTTTTTTTTTGACATGGCCACCTGAGAACCCTTTTCCTCAGGGACTCTCTGTACGATCTCTCCTGTCTGGTAGCAGTTAATAATATCCCGCTGGAAAAGCTTCAGTAAGTAGCAGCTCTAAGATAACTGGCCATTTCCCTACCAGTGGGGTTCCCCTGAGAGCACTGTTGCTACCAACAGAACATCTGAGTGTTCTCCTCAGCAGGAGCCGATCCCAGCAGAGAATTCCCATCGGTGTCAGCAGATCATTATGAGCTGCAATGAAGCAAGAACTGTGAAGTATCTGCTTTTCACAGGGTGATTCGGTTCCACCTCATCTGTGTCACATTCAGCACTTGACAGATTTTAGGAGGGGATTTCACGGGTTCAAAGCATCATCCGGAGCAAGTTCCTCCCCAGGCAGTTGTGTGGGAGGACCGAGGAGGTGATATGTTGTTAAATGATCAGTTGTGCCTTAAAAAGGACCTCATATCCAGACAAGCCTGCACATTCAGCAGCTCGAGGCCTTTTTTCTTCCTGTTGCCTGTTGATTCATTCTGAAGCCACTGAGGAGGCAAAGGCATTTGAAATCCCTCTGACAATTGTAGCAACAGGCCATTGCTTAGTTAGATATAAAAACACTGTCTTGTAGGTGTGGTGCCCTAGGAACAACAAACCACTTGGTAGATCACCCATGGAGAGCTTTGACACCTGTAGACCATTATTTTCAAACCATGAAGACAATTTCTGTAGCAGTAGTTCCATTCCTTTGCTGTAATTTGCCTTTCACTGTGACATGGAGCTCATTTCTCAGTGAGTGAGTGGTCTCTGGTGTTAAAGACATTTTTGACACGAGGCTCCACCTCCCTCAGATAGACTTGTTGGCGCAGGTCAGTCATGATACCTGGTAGCTCCAGCAGGGTGCCTTAACATCTGGAGTTGTGTCTCTGCTCATCTGAACTGTCCAGAAGGAGCAGGATGGAAGGGAGTCCAGAGTAGTCACATAAGCACCTGCAGGGCAGCTTGTTATACTCCAGTCTGTCAGCAGCCAAAAGCTGCTTCATGCAAGTGTCTGTGAGATGTGAGTGTGAGGCTTAGGAGTATCCCCTGCACTTTGTCCCAGTTTTTATGCTAATGAATCCTGGTTACACCTTCCCAAAGTGTGTCACAGTTCTTGTTTTGTATAATCCATGTTTGCTGATACTAAGCTGTGCTCATGAATCCCTTAAAATGCAAACGATTGCACTTGGCACGAGAGAAGGAGACTAAAATCTTGTTCTTATAATAGATATTCCGAGGTGGTAGAAAAACAAAACAAACAAAACTTATTGCTAAAGAACCGTGTGTCCATCTAAGGAATTTAAATAGTTTCTATTACTGACTGTATTTTGTTCCATTAATTGAGTCAAATATCTTATTTCCCTTTAATCAATTTCCCTGGAAATTTCCTTTATTTTTCTCTCCTTCTAGTAGATTTTCCCATAATATTAGACAATCTAAGCCTATGATTTGTGACACATTAATAACTACAGAGGAAAGAGCTAGTCATGTAAAAGAATGTTGTCTTGGCAAGCCAGTGAGTGCTTTTCCTCAGCCGGGAGTTGTGCTGGTTGGAATATAAGGGCAGGCAAGTAGGAGCTCTAGTTTATTCAGATAGAAAAGCAGAAACAAATGGTCTTTTGCATTTGGGAATATATACCTATGTGCAAGTATAACCATAATCACAATTATTATGGGAGTATCGTGATTTCCAGATGAATTAAATGAGTTTTTTTTCCCCCTTTCAAACTTCAAGACAGTCACGCAGTCAGCTGTAAATAGAGCTGACACAAAACCTGGTGCTTTCTCTAAAGAGAACGTTTTCTCTCTCTTAAAGCACAGAATGTAAAAGCTAATTCTGACAACGTGTACCACTTTTAATATGCAACAAAAAAAATTCTGTCTTTGAAGTCTGAGTCAGACTGAAGGGAAGTGCCTGCCCTTTTTGCAGGCTGCAAGCCTTGCTCCAGGGGTAAACTCCTGTTTACTTCTTGTCTTTGCAGTGCTGCTGGTGGTGAAAGCAAACGCCCCAGCATGTTACACAGAGCATGGACTTCTGAGTATAATTTAAGCTCAGCAGCTCTCCTCCACAAGGGATTAAAGGGAAATGCTGTGCATACCCACAGAGATGATTGACAGAGAAGTGAACCGAGGCCATGGTTTTCCTGTCATTAATCACACACTGGTTTGGTGAGCTGGCTGCAGTTCATAGAAAGTATCACACTGATCTGACACTGCTGCCATCGGGGCTTGTCACTCCTCCTGTGTGAGGACATCATAAATTATGTGCAGAGAAGGAGGTGGAGAAAAGCCCTCTATTTTTGGTGCTTTTAGCTTGGATGGCTCTGCACAAACTGCTGATTAAGTCTTGCTGGCAACAAATTGGAAACTGTTGTCATTCCTACTGGGTTCATTTCATAGCATTTAGACCATGTTTTCAAGCTTTCCCATCTAATCACAGGGGTTGGAAATTTGCTTTATTGACTTGATTCTAAGTCTACCACTACCCCATCCCTCTGATTGCAGCTCTCTAGGGTGTGTTGCTGATGTCTTATCTGCCTGCTAGAGATCTCTCCTCCCCTTGGCCCTCCCCTGGCTCCCATACTGCAGTTTCCCAGCCTTTACTTCTGCCACCAGAGAGCTCAGGTTGCTTCAGCGTGTGATGGATGGGATCAAAATCTCTCACAACATTAATGAGTTGGATAAGCATTGGACACAGGAGTTCTGCTCCTATCAATCCTACCACAGGCAGCTCATGGTAAATACATGCAGTGTGACAGCAGGAATGGAATATTTACTTTGGCTCATTGAGGTTTGCATTGAGGTGGAAGAATTAATCCCTTAACAAATTACTCCTCTGCTATTGCTTCTAGGGGTCAGGCTTTTTTTAGCACCAGACACCCAGCTCTCTCTGCTCTTTTCAAATCCAGCAGAAATCAATGGCTGGATCCAAGAGCCTCTCTTTAACCTCTCATCAGCAATGGGGACAACAACCTAAGCTCTGTGTTCAGTGTTGCAAGTGTCAGAGACAGCGTGGAGAGGTTTCGCTCTAACAGGTATCCATTGTAGAATCACAGAATGTCTTGGCTTGGAAGGGAGCTTAAAGCTTACCTTGTTCCACCCCTGCCAGGGGCAGGCACACCTTCCACTGGACCAGGTTGCCCTGTCCAACCTGGCCTTCAACACTTCCAGGGATGGGGTATCCACAGCTTTTCTGGGCACCCTGTTCCAGGGCCTCGCCACCCTAACAGGGAAGAATTCTTTTGTCACAGGGGTTTGCCTGGAGATCTCAGCCTCTCTGCAGAAGGTAGCACGGAGGTAGTGCTGGTACTCCAAGGCTGGGGAGTATCTGGGGAGTATCTGTGGAGTATCTCTGCTCTGGAAGTGTCGGTCAGATGGGCACTGCTCTGCACAGAGTTCACGAGTCTGTTCCTCCTGAGGGGCAGGTCACAATAGTGTTTTTTTCTTTGCCTACATTACCCCATCCAGCCCTTGTTTGTACTGCACATACAGGGAGAGAGATTGCCGAGACGGTTCCTCTCCAGAGGCTGTTAAGAGACATTTAGCTTCAGTTAACACTACTCATAAAACGAGTCAGCTTTTGGGCAAGACAAGGCAGCACTTGGAAGCCCTCCCAAGCTGGTGGAAGGAAACATGATGCTTGGGCAGGGAGAGAACCACTCGTCCCAGGAGATGAGTGCAGGAGGAGCATGGGCAGGGAGACGTGGGAGGAGAAGGACTCGCAGGAGCTGGGATTACCTAAGGAGCATGTTATGGAATACAACTGGTATTGTCATTTGGAACCTGCTAACAACAATGGGTAACACTCTCCTGGGGGAGATTTGGAGCCACAACAGACTTATCCAGGTAATTCAGTTGTCTCAAAACATCCTTTTTTTTCCCCTTTAAAAACAAATATCCTCTCTGCTGAAAAAAGGAACACTTATGGATGCTGCGGGCAGGTGGAGAAAGAAGAAACGCCTTTCCCTGCCTTGGCATACTTCCTTAGGGTCAGCCTCCGGGCTTGTACATCCCATGTGAAGCATTCAGAGCTTTAGGCCTTCCTAACCTTTCCTGCACCTGCTGCCATAGGGAAGGGAATAAAGGCTCAAGCCCCAACCAGTGCAGGGTGCATGTGAGCCTGGGTGGGCTGTGGGCAGAAGGGGCTCTTCCCTCCGGGCTGAGGCTCCTGGGGGTGGTGCAGCACTCCAGGACAGCGGCTCTCTTTCTCTCCTGTGTCACTGCATGCATTGTATTTCTTGGCACCAGGAACCCATGACATCTTGATTTGCAAACGGTCAAATAAAATAGAAAAATAATGTCCCCTGTTAATAGGTTGACACACTGCTTCAGGCCAAGTGTGAGTATTTCTATAGCATTTGCTTTGCTGCCTTATGTCAGTAACTGTTGCTATTGAAAGTAAACACCCCAACTGGTTAAATCAACAGTGTTTTGTTTATTCAAAGCTCATAAACTCCAGTAGCTGTAGGTCACTTTATGAAGTGCCAACCCCTGGGGGGAAGAGAAGGAATAGTGTGAAATTATTGCATGCAGTCCACCCATCGTGAGCCTTAGAGGAAGGGGATTTATTGGCAATTAATATTTCTTGCAGAGGAAAAAAAGTAATCCTATTGAGGCAGCTCCACACTGAACCTTGAACCTCCATACTGGTGGAAATGGGGAATGGGATGAAACCTTCTAGGTTTGGGTTAAAAAATGAGACCTTTGAAAATGAAAAGTGGTTTTGTTTTTTTTTTTTAAGAGCACCCCTTCCCCTCTCAGCCTTCCAGGCAGTGCTGTTGAGACTGTTCCAGCTTGTCTGGGGAGGGCAGAAGGGCTTTTGGCACTTCCCAAGAGCCGGGATGCACATTCCTGCTGCTCCTGGACTGCTTGGTAGGTCGCAGTGTACACAAACACTGCACTCTATGGAAGTTGGACAGGGCTTTGGTCTTCAGCAGCGATTTCCAACTTGCTGAGATCCAAACTAAGATGAGTCAGATGGTTATTTCCAGGCTAAAACTTATCCTTCCTCGTCCTGAAAAAGCCTTGGGAACCACTGATCTGGGGGATGTCAGGTACCAAACTCTCTATTAACACAATGAAGTCTGAGAAATGTAGGTTAATTTGGAATTTTGATGACCTAGGATGCTTTGGAAGTGAAATTTGGGGATTGAATAGGAATAACCAGTGTCCAGGGCAATGCTTACATGCATCTTCTCTTGCCTATTGTAGACGTGTTTTTTGATGATTGCTATTTACTCTTAAGATCTGAGGTTAAAGATGTGTCTTTGTGATAAATCCAATTATGAACTCATCAAAAATTAGAGTATTTTGGGAAAAGAATTAATCATACAGCCATATGAAAGAAATTATAGCTTCTGTGAAAATAATCTGAATATATATTCTTAATTGGCAGTATCTTAGCCCAGATGTTAAATGCTTGAAAGGAACGATGAGTCATAAGGTTGTTCTAAATAGATTTCAAAAAATGCCTCTCAAATAGCACAAGAAAGTTACAAACATTAAATTATCTGTAGTCTTTAACAAGAGCAAAATCTCTGCCTCGTGACTGAAGGCTTCAGCTGAGCTAGAAAAGTTGCTCCCCACTTCTGCAGAATGTATGAAAAGTTTAATGCTGGTGTTTTCTCACCGAATATTTAAGCATTTTCTTCACGTAACGAGAACCTTTGTGCAGCTCTCACTGTGGCCAAGAGCTGTTGGGTTTGGGGCTTTCTGAAGCTTGCACAGCAGTAAAACAGTGCCAGGTCAGGTCACAGACAGCCCAGCCCTGCCTGTGTGTGAGTGCAAGGCCAGCTGAACATATAGGATATCATTTCCTGATTTTTGGCTCAGCAGCCAGCGATGTTCAGTAAAGACACAAGTACTCAGGGTCTCTTTGTCAGAGAAAGTTAAAATCCAGCCAAGGCAGCTGTTAAATAGATGAGCAGGATCCCCTGGAGGCCTTTTCAGTTGGGGTTGATGAATCTGGAGGAGTTTGAGTGCAGGTCATGAACTCGCAGCTCACCAGACCCAAATTGCTGCCCACCTGGTCTGGTCATAGGGAAGCTCCTGATATTTTCCAGCTGTAGGGAACCATTCTCACATCTTCACTTTCTTCAGCTCCTGCTGCTTGATAGCAAACAGTTGAAATGGCTTTGCAGGGATGGTGACCAGGATTCTCCAAAGCTTTTCTGACCATGCAGATGTCTGTTTTAGTAGGATGAGAGGAAAGTATGTGGAGAGATGGTGCTATCCTGGTTTTCTGGAAAGAGAGAATAACTTGCCAAAGTCATGCTCTAAATTTATGACCAAGAGCAGTAAAGACCTTAGAAAGCCTTCATGATGTGTGTGCCCATCTGGATCCCACCCTACCTTTTCTTCCCTTGCCTTTTGTAATCAAACTCAGTCTGCAACACAGGGCCCTGCTCCTCAGATGTTCAGGCTTCTGCAAAACATGCTTCCAAAAATCCCGGACTGCAGCAGTCCCAGGATGACCCCCCCTGCTCTGAAATGTGGCTTTGTGGTTGCCCCTCTTGTGTGCACAGGGCTCAGTACCTGCCCATGGAGACAGGTTCTGTTGGCAAACACGCAGTGCCAGGCCCAGCATCACCCCTGTTCTGTGGGAGGCAGTGGGATTTTGTAGAAAAGGCTCTTTTTTTTTTTTTTTTTTTTTTTTTTAAGGAATTCAGTGTTATTCAGTGGAATCCTCTCTGCAGGTGGAATTTTTTGGGCTCTGGGGCTGTAGTGTGCCTGCACTTGAAAATTTGGCCATTTACTTGGAAAGAGACATGGGCAAGTTTCAGCTCATTCATCCAAGCTGTCCTTTCTCAAGGACAAGGAGTAGGGCCAGCACAGCTGAACCGCTGCAGCCAACTCCTGGATGTTTCCAAATAAAATGCCTTGAGTAAGTTTATTTTTCCCTCTCAGACCTAAATTTAGCGCCCTGGAGAAGCTGCTTTGGCAGTCAGGGGATGGTAACGATGACAAGATCGATCTGTGGATAGTTCTGGGAAGATTTGGAAAGTCCTGGTAAAAAAGAGTTGGTTTCATTCATGTTTGCAATTTGTCCACAGCCCAAAGGTCTGCTCATGAGCTTCCAATGGTTGAAAGACAAGACATTGACAGCTGCTCTGTTTATGGAGGACAACAGATGATCCTGACTGGACAGAATTTCACAGCAGAGTCCAAGGTGGTGTTCACAGAAAAAACATCAGGTAAGGCAGTTTTTTTCTATCTTTCCCTAATGGGATAAGGCAAATCTGTAATGCCAAGTCTCGTTGTAAGATTTGTGCTGATGATTAACCCTACTCAAGTGAGTAATCTCATTCAAGTTCATGTAAGTAAAACCATGTGAGTAAAATTAGACTTGGGAGCAAATATTTGTGTTATTGGTTCACAAGAATGCAGGCACTGGGAATCAGCAGGAACAAGAAATGTTCCAAAGAAATGAGGTGACCATTACACGTTCCTCTGTGCTTGTTCAATCTCATGCTTAGTGAACGCTACTGTAGAAATCATAATTGAAATGAACATTTTTTTATTGATGTGAACTACAGGCAGAGATTGTGTTTTCTTCCCTTTAGAAGTCTGTGGAGAAAAAATAATGTATATTATATTATTATATGTAATATACATAATATATATTATGTGTAATATACATAATATATTCTGTGTAATGTACATAGTGTATATTTTTATATCAAAGTAAAATTATTTTTATATACACAGTGAAATACAAGAATGCTTCACTTCATCTTCTATATTTTTTATTGTAAACTTTGTGCTGTTAAGAAAAGTTGTTGCTCCTGAGTTTTCTGTTGGTAAGCTGAGGCAGAGGCAGCTTAATCCAGTGACTTGCAGGGGTTTAAGAAATTGCATTGCCCAAGAGAACTACATGTGCATGATCTATGGGGTAATGCCTTTGGCAAAAAGTAGGAATTGAGTCAAAAATGAATGTATATGGGCATCAGTTCGTGACCTGGGAGGGGAAAAAAGGATTCTGTGGGTCCCAGCTCCTTCTCACACCACCAGCAAGCCAGGCTATTTTACAGCAGGTATGAAAGGATCTGCAGAAATGTGAAGGTTCAGATGAGCCTGTGCAGTCAGAGGAATTTTTTTGGCATACTGTGTTTCCTTTCAAGCCCATGTATTAATTCCTTCCCACTGTGCTGCCACTGTTCCATGGATGTCAGCGAATTGTGAAGGGGCATGGGAACATGCTTGGCAGCCCACAACAGTACCTGTCCCAAGAATGTTTTGCAGTAACTAAAGGAGATGATACACTCAAAGAAGGGAGCTCTTAATGCCATTTCGAGGAAACATCCAAAACACCCTGCCCCTATTTCCATATAAGAGCAGAGAAGGCTCTGGCTGGAATAGATGTTAGAAAGTAAAAGGAACAACAACATTTTCCACACACTAAATCTAAAGCTTTTCTTCGCTGCTGGGGAAACTGTGGGTTTTTTTCTTCTTTTTTTACCTCCTGTTAGGGGAGAGCCATGACTTATCCCAGCGGTTGTGCCCAGTCTGGAGCAGGGATTTGCTTGCTGGTGTTCCATATCCTGCCTGCCCCGCCACCCCTCAGTCTCTGCCGGCAGCCTCAGTCTGCTGGACTTTGTATAAATGATTGGCAGAAGGGGAATTTAGAGGATGGGAGGTCCAGAGTCAAATCCTTGGTGTGAATCAGAAGTCTGTGTGGTATGCAGTGGGTTATCTGGGGGACTCTGCTCCGTGCTGAGCCAGTTCTTTGTGTGTCCGTGCACTGCTCCGTCATGCAGCAACACCTCTTACAGAGATGCCCTAAAGTGCTTTTAAATGAAGATTGCTTTATTTAATAGGTATATCTTAAAGTGAGAAGGTTGAGAAGGTTAAGAAGCTGAGCTGGATATGCAGATCATGCAGGGCTGACTGCACCATACTGAGAATTCAGCCAGTCTGCTGAGTGTCCCAGCCTGCCTGAATGTTAGGATATTGTACACCTGAGGCTTTCAACTTCCCTCATTATACACTGTATACAATTGTAAATATCACTGTGAGGGCATGCCTAGTTGCTGCTGTGTTGTGCTGCACAAGCACAGAACAAGGAGCCCAGTTGTGCAGCCCGATTTATCGATTCGAAGTCTCTGGGTGGAAGGAGGAGGTGGATCCTGCACTCAGGCAGCTCGCTGCAGACCCGTCTGCACCTTGCAGAAAGCGCTGATGAGCTGCTCAGAAGCAGAACAAGCCACAATAAACATCCCTGTGGGTGGAGAGCACATCGCTGGCGTGACCCTCTCATTGTCGCGGCTCTTCCCGAGCGCGGCGCTGCCCCGGGGAGCCTGTGCAAGAATCACACCTTTCTCGAGGCAGGAAGATGCAACAAGCTTGCAGGGGGGAGCTTGGTTTTCGTTGAGGTTCATTTTAGCAACTCTCAAGCCTTGTCTGTGCTAACAAGTGGTACTGGATTTGCCACTTTTGCCACCAGTTTTAGCTTTGCTGGCAACGACAAGGGTGAGAGCAGTGGTGTGGGTAACCACCTAATAACTTTCATCAGGCTGTACTCCATAGAGCTCTTGGACTTGGCTTGTGAGTCCAGTGTTTAAGATGAGAGCAGCAAGACTGGTTTTTTCCCCAAAATCCTTTGTGCAAGTATCTCTGTGCAACAAGATGTTAACTGTTTTGTAGCCTCCAAAATCTGGGTGCATCTTGAATCTGGATCAGTGTGTGATGATGAGAAGCAGCAATCGGTCACCTTACAAAACTGAGGAAAATGCAATTGGGGATCACATTTGTAAATTAGGTTTCATCCCTCAGGGGAACACTCAAAACCTATTTCCATTTCTTCTGGATCTTGTAGACAATTCTTCACTCACTACTTGCAACGCAGAGGGACGTAGAACTGCTCATAACTGTGACTGAAATACAACAAGGTTCTGAGAACAATAACGAGCAGCTTTTATTTCTCTGTTTCATAGAACTATAGAGACGTATATTTTTCCTAAGAAATACCGGGAAAATAAAAAAGACTATTCCCCAAATTGTGCCAGGATGTCCTTCTGAAAATAACTGCCTGGTGTCACGCGAACTGCAGGCTGTGGCACCGAGTTCACCAGGGACAAGGCTGTGAAAGTCGCTCGTTTTGGGCTTGCGACAGGAAATGGCAGCAGGAAGTGAAGTGAAGGGGCTGGAGCTCAGTGCTCTGGGGGGACAGAGTGCTTGTGTTTGAAATGCTGATGCATAAATAGCGTTAATTTTCGTAATGATAAGGTTTTATCAACGTGCAAGCCGTAGACTGTTTTTTTAAACTTTTTTAAGGTTCTCTCTTCCTGATGAGAGAGTGTAATCTGTAGCTGCTGTAAGCCAGGGCAGCTCATAAATTTGGTAAGTTCAGCACACAAAAGCAGAGTTTGGCTGAAGGAGTTTTAAGATCTGAACTCAGAGACACATTACTGAGCCCAGCTAAATAAAAATAGGTCAGGAGAAGCAACTAGATTGGATTGTACGGGTAGCAATTTTTGAAGTGCATATATTCCTTTAGTTTTGGTCTGAAAGAGAGAGCTCGAAAAGCAGTCCTAGAGCTATCAAGGATTTGGAATATGTTGAAGGTCAGGAGTGTCAGTGTTTGGTTGGGGCCCAGACCTTACAGTGCAGTTAAAAAAAGAAAAGATTTGGAATTCCCCCTTTTATTTATTTTAATTGTCATGTAATAATTTGCAAGTCAGATGTTGGTTGCATTGTGTTTACTCCCATTTGTGTACTGGTTACTGCTGCTCTGCTGTCAGTGATAGGGGAGTTTCGTGTTTCTCTGGGAGAGAAGTGCAAATGGACTGTGATTTCCCCTGCCAAACTCTTCTGGTGGCCACATGGACATCGTGAATCATCGCTAGGACAATGTGGGTGGTGGAGGAACAACCCAAACAGAGCGTCCATCCTTGGAGGGGATCCATCATAAATCTTTCAGTCCATCCAGGCAGTGCAGGGAGAGGAGGTGGTGCTCTCTGTGCCCTTGGAACTGATGCAGCTGCCAAGGCCCCTGAAGAATGGATGTTCAAAGTCCCTGTGACAAAATAAATCTTTCCAGCTCTAGACTCAAGGAGTGGTGCTTGAATGTCTGCTGGTTTCAGGAGAGCTCACCACAGGGCAGGATCAGGACCATGATGTTCAGTGTGTCGGTGGTGAGTTGAGGTTTCATCTGCACAGAATGCACCTGCCTCCATACCCTAGAAACAAACCATGGAGCATGTGCCAGTGGATTCCAACATCCAGGAGTCTTTCAGGGCAATTCACCGTAGAAAACTGTGGTGGGATGGCATCATGGCATGTATAATGTGAATAGGAGGTGGCTTGGGTGTTGTTTTTGATGGTAATGAGGAGCCAGGGCTGATGGTCATGTCATTTGTGGGAGAGGTGAAAGGAAATTCTAACAATGTCTACAGCAACATTCCCTTTTCTGTTGTGTCCAGTCTGAAATTCCTCACCATGCCCCAACCAGGGAACTAAATCCCTGTTTGTAGTCTGAGAGTTACATGAATGATCCAAAAACTCCAGGAGAATGCAGAAAACAGCAAAGTATTTTCAACATTTTAGCCTGTGAACTTAATAATGCAGAATTAATGGTGCAATTTTCTCAGGCAAATTGAAGATTAAAAAAGAAAACTTTTTAAAAAAAGTTTTATTTTCCCCAAGTCCACCCAAAAGAGGGTTTGCTATTTGACCAAATAAACAACTTTAAATATTGAATGCAAGCACTAATTTCTAAATTAATGAACTTAAGGAGAACTAAGAGGAGCAGGACATATGTTAGAACAAGGCTAATAATACAGTGATAGATGCAATCCACTGCTGAGTATGCATTAAATGTAGGTTTGAAAGGCATCTTATCCTGAGATAAAAATCCAGCATCTGGGGAAAAAAACCAAGCTACTGGTTGATTTTTTTAATGGGAAAGGCTAAGGAAAAAAGCACAAATATTTGGTAATAGTTACAGAGTTAGCAAAAGTGAGTGTGGTACTGTAATCTTAAATGGTTCAGTTTGTTTGCAATATGTGAGGGTCTGTAGAAAGTATATTAAATAAATTTGCCACCTTGCTATTTTCCTGTCATTTTTGAAAGAGCACAATCCCTGTTCCACTCAGTCTGTGGCTGGAGTCCAGCATGTAAAGCTGGATGCATATCACATCCACCCTAAACCTGCAGAGTGATGGGATGGACTGGGGGAATAAATTACAGATGTCTC